TATGTGACAAATGATTTTTGATGTCATTTTTTCTAGATCCTTTTTTGTTGCTAATTCAGGGAGTCCAGGTGGTTGAGTATCAGATTGTTCCATCTCGTTTCCCTTTGGGGTTGCTTTAGGTGATCTGGAAGTCTGGTTTTGAGACTTGTTTACGTGTCTTCTCATTTCAGTGTTGCGGGGCGGGGGTGTACTGCTGGCTCCCATGTGGCTCACCTTATTGGTAAGGTGGCCCGAAATGTTCACCTCCTCTGTGCTGGGGGTGGCTCTGCTCCTCAGTGCTCCCTAATTACCTTTTTAAAGACCCTGTGTCTAAACACAGTCACATGCGGAGGTACCAGGGAGTGAGGGATATAATTCAGCCTGTAGCTGTGTCCTTGAAAGAAGGGTACAAATCAGGATCCATGAGCCATGCTCTTTGACTACATTGGATGTATTATCTTCTTTCTGGCTTTCAAAATTTCAGTCCTTAACATATTTCAGTCCCGTTACATATTCCATTGAAATGAGATGAGTGAAATGCACCAAAGATGATTTTTAGCAACAGAAGTTAACTAATGTTTCTAGATATTATCACTTAGGAAGTGGAGCATAGGATCAATAGATACAGAAAATGTGGTATTATACACAACAGAATACTGCTCTATCCTAAAGAAGGATAAACTTGAGTCGTTTGTAGGAAAATGAATGCACCTTGAGATCATAATGTTAAATGAAATAAATTGGACACAAAGCTTAAATATCGGATGGTTTCTCTTATACAAGAAACCCAAAATGTAAATAAACAGCAAAATAAAGTATAGTAATAGGAAACAGGGAGATGGATCTTTCTCAAAGGGGGAAGAGAGGAAGAGATGGGGGAAGGGGGAGAAGAAAGGGAAGGGGATGAAAAGAGAATTAAGTTATGTTATCTACATGTCCCAACTCCCCATGAGTAATGTAATCATTACATGCTGCAAACGTGTGCTGATAAAAAATAAAAACCGAGAAGAAAAGCTATTAAAAGTAGGCTGAGGCTCAACTTATGTTATCAGATAAAACCATATTTTTTAAAAGGGAAGTGAAACATGGTATGTAAGAAGTATATGAGATAAAACTACAAAATGGTATATGTGAGCATCATGTTTTGGCCTAAGTTGTGTAAAACACAGTGACCATTAGCTTGTAGTTGGAGCACCAAAGTGATTAGGTAATGCTGAGAAGAAAACCAAAAGTGTTATCAGGAACTGGTCCGAGGGTGGTCAGCAAATGTTCCTGTATCACCTGACTGGTCTTACCATCTTCCCCGAGGTCCCTGAATGGGAGACACTCTGTTTAGAGAACGTCTGCTCCCAAATGCCACTGTGTATATATCTTTCTTTTTCTCTCTTTGGTTGTTCTTCCTCTGTGTGCTTTCATTGTCTTAGGCGTGTTTGATACCCACAGAGAGCTGCTAAAATAAGAAACTGACTAGGATGCTAGAGAAGGATGGTGTTGGAACACCTGTCAGGAGTACAGCCAGAATAAGGATGCTCTTGCTAGGAAATCGAGCAACCCCACTGAGAAAGGTTGGTAATTCACAGATGATTCATGTGTGACTAACTGCATTTGTATTCTTGGCCGTATTTGTTATAAAGCACTCCTCCACCTTCCCATGAGGGTTTCTGGTCACTTGTTCAGGTTCATGAAAACTCTTAGCTGGGACAGTCAGTTTGGGAGTGCTAATCAGGTAGTCAAAAGAAATGATGCGGCATCAAAAGCACATTCACATCCTGTAGGTTGAAAATTCCTTATGTTAAATAGAAAATATTCCTCAAGCTATGTAAAATAAGCACAGAAGTATTATTTGGGTACTGTAGAGTCTAGTGACTCTCATTCTTGTTATAAAAATATTCAGAGCTCTCCAGTCACCTTAGAAATTACTTAATTTTATAGGCATCTCTGGGACTAGGAGTTTCCTAGAGTAAGTTAAATCTTGCAATGGCTGAGATATAAAGCATTCCCAAAAGGTCACATGCTGGACCCAATTCTTTTGGGCCCTGATCTGAATCCCGATAAGGATGAGGCAGGTGCAGGACAAGGGTGTGCAGAAGCTCTTAGCCAAATCTCGATGCCTATTAGTTGTGACTCTGTGGTTTTCATCTTCTAAAGCATTCTGCAGTTTGGAAGATGCTGAACATGCAGTCTGAAGAAGGTTAGAAGTCATAGAACATTGGTACTCTTCCAAGTGAGAACACTTCACTTGGATCCGAGGTCCTATTTCAGTTTCAAATTTTAGTATCCTGCAGCCCATAAATGAACTCACTATTTACAATGGAAATAACTATAAAAATTTGTTAGTAATTACTTGGAGTTTCTCAGAGCCAGTCCAGCCTTATTTTCATTTCTGGGCACTCAGATTCTAGAGGCAGAGAGAAAGAGCAGCAGGTTCTTGTTAGATCTTAAAATGGAAAGGATGCAGAATAAACCATGGTTGTGTCGATAAGGATTTCTTAGTCTAGTTGATAATGATTCTTGTGATCAGAGTCCTTCTAGACTTAGTGATCTATGTTGAGTTTGAAGGTGGTTTTAAGTTAAAGTATCTGGGGTTCATGGAATCCTGAAATGGAACTTTTTTCTCTTGGTTTTGACATTAGGCATATTTGGAAACAAGAGTGAAATGCAACTTCCTATGTTTGGCAGCTATAGCAACACATCAAGTGCAAGCTTTTCAAAAACGAAAAGCAGTACCAACTTACATCTGAGTAGATGCAGACAGTTCCTAATCAGATTTTCAACAGGATTCCCAAAGCATTGTGTTAACCAAGTAAGCAACCAGTCTTTTGGGTTTATTTTATTTTGTTCTTTTACTGTTTCACCTTTTATAGCTATAAGGCTAAAAATAAATTCAGCAACTTCCCAGCTGGTGGAAAATAAAGCCAATTCTCTCATTCTTGTAGGTGATGTCAACAATCTTCTTGTTCCTTTCATTAATCCAGGGCAGTTCTGGTGTAGGTAATGGTGATTTCCTGTGAGTGTTCATTGGTCATAGAAGCTCCCAGCAATTGTCTTGAGACCGGGGGAGAACACACGTACTTTTTGGGGGTAGATAGAAGTCCATTTTATAATTCTTTTTTCCTGGAGACATCTAGAAGATCAGTGAAATATTTTCAAAAGAAATTTCACTGCCTCAATTGTAATGATTCATAAATAAATCAACCTTTTGCTTTTATTCCCTAAAAACCTTTTATCAGCCCCTTGTCCATGTACAGGTGTCATCTCTGTTAACCCTAGCCATTGGGTGAATGAGGAGAAGACTCTGAAAGGTTAAATCAAGGAAGGGGAGGACAGATTAATTCAGTCTTTCTGGTTTGGGGAGCCCATGTGTTTCCTCTGGGGTACACACAGGTCTGTATATGCAGTAAAAACCACTACTTCATATTTTTTAAGCATACAAGGAATCATACTGAAGTACCAAGTAGTCATAGAATTCAACAAAACAAACCATTTCCTACCTTCTCTGGGAGCAGATGTGTCGATTATACAGGTGCCAGCCATCGCTCCATTCTTCTTGCTCCCTTGGGGTTGGTCTGACAGGAGATACTAGGTTCTCAGGTGGAGGATGAGACAGGAGAGGTGGTGTTGACTGTTTAGACTGGAACAGTAACTTGTTGCTGGCTGCCAGTCTTAGAGAATGATTCCTGGTAATTGAACATGTGACATCAGATAGCTCCTTGCCACCGCACCATTAGGCTGATACATGGACTTGTGCCTTGTAGATCGACTAGTTTCTCCAGTGTTTAGTGGGTTGAAAGTCTAAACTTTAGAGTCTGGGCATTATTACTTAGCTAAGCATCCATAATGCTATAATCAAAGAATTTAATTTCAGGTTAAAAAATACAGTTTTATTGTTTTCTGTATGTTTCATAATTTTCTAAGTCATCCAAATTCTTAGGTGTAAGACATAATTTTTTATGAAAGGGAAAAAACAAAAGCAATTTGGATTTAGTTCCAATTGAGTAAAGTAATGCGCCTTTTCTCATTTCTTTGCTATGGAACCAAATGGCCTTGCTGATGTTCCCAGGTCAAAAAGAAAGGCAAAGCAAAGAAGAATCTGAGGTCCTTAATTGAATGTTTAGAGGAAGAACTGTCAGTGGAGTGGGTGTAAAGTCGCTCTTGCAAATAATTCAGGTTCACCACTCATCACTGTGGGAAAATAGAAACTTCTTAAAAGATTATTTCATTTATAAATTCTTCAAGCTGTTTTAGTTATTTGTCTTTGATGAAGTATCTTTAATTCCATCATAAGCAGCAATTATTTGTTCGCCCAGGTGAAAATTTTTTCAGCCATGTCTGTACATTTAAGAGTGTTAATCATCCTTCCTGCTGGCTTTGATAATTTCCCCATTTCAAACTTTAGTGTTTGTTCTATTATCTTTGCAAATATTTGGAATTCTACAGGAAGGTGCTGTTAGAAACAGTTTCCTCTGTGTGAAAAATTTTAAAGACCTGCTAGAATAATAAATCATAGCCAAAGTAGACCAGGCCCTGTAAATTATTGTCAAACATTCATCCATGACTTAGGTGTTCATTTCATAACCTGTGGCACAGGTACAGTATGAGGGCATCACTAGGACAAAATCCTTCCTTACAGGACTTCAGATCTGGTGGGCAGAGTGATTATCTCTTCTTCCAAAAGAGGCAGCCTTTTCCCCCTACTTACTTAATAACAACAATTAAAACTACCTTCATGGCTTCTGGAAAAGTCAGTGAATTGTAACTAGCCACTTGTGAAGTTTAGTTATGGAGATATCCCTGTCATTCTAGTACACATTCAGCAGTCCCTCAGTATTAAAAATCCTAATAAAATAGTAGGAGAAAAGGATTGTGGAACAGGCTGACTGGTGCCCATACTGGCTTCAGAGTCTGCCCTGTGGTGTTCATCTAAGTCCTGCTTGTGTGACTTGTTTTCTGGAATGCTTGACCAGCATTCACAGCATTTTTCTTTTTTTTGCATTCACATTATTTTAAAGAAAGAAGCCAAAATAGAACCTCTTGCAAGTGGGATAGCCACAATGACTATGTTGGAGAGAAAAATACATGAAATAACACTAAAGCCATCACTCTTACAAAATTATTTTTTTTTAATCTAGTGGAATTGTTTCTCCCTAGTGCACAAACTAAGGAATGTTAATCCTTTGCTTGTCGATAACTTTTCACTGGGTCCCTATTTAATTTGAACAGGGTATTTCCACTCAGTGTTATGAAACTAGACTAAAGCTCTAAAGCCCTTGAACAGTTTTATCCCCAATTTTAACTCTTCGTATGGACCTGTTTGGCGCCAGGCTTGTCACCGGGAACTAATGCTCAGTTATGTCTGTGGAGCCTGTAATCACCGACATCCCCCTCCCTGGTCACACAGTCAAGTCCATGTTGGGACAGATGGTTGTATAACTGGTATCGTTCTGCCTGGACTGTAAAACCTCTCAGGGCAGAGATCCCAGCCACGTCTGCCCGCCACGATAGTCCCTTCTCTGGAAGAGTTGCTCAAAAAATTCATTGCTACTGAATGCTTTCATTCTGTAGTAAGCATCTTTTTCTTTCTCCTCATCTTTCTGTGGACTTCTCCTTCCTTGGTTTTCTGAAATCTGGTTCTCCTTGGCAACACCATTTTCCTGGTGACGCTCTCCAGTGACATTGCCATTCTGCCAGCTCCTCGGTGCTCTTGCCACCATCTTGTTCCACAGTCCATTGCCATCGTGCTGAGACCTCCCAGGTGTCTTTGCTGCTGTCATTTGCTGACTTCTTGGTTACCTCTTCATGGTCGTCAGATGAGATTCAGACCCTCAATCTCCACCCCAAGCTCTCTGATACCCAGGGAAATCCAGTGTCTGTGTTGTTCCCCGGGATTCTGTAGCCCCCTTCTTGAGCCCTCAGCCTTTCCTCCGCTGAGGGCTTCTTCTTCACAGCTCATAAACGTACTTTAGTGTCCTTCACACTTTGTGGATTTAAAACAAACAGCAAACACAACTTTTTTTTCTTTCTGGAACTTGATCACACTCAGTGCCAAAAAAGTTGAGAGTTCCTTATTGCACAAGGCCCACCTGCACCTAATGTAATTGCTTCCCAAGAATTTACCCCTGCTCCTCCACAGCTGCTTTTGTTTGGAAGACTCCACCAAACTCAACTCCAGCTTCTTGCCTTTGTGTCCATAATGCATTTCTGACTGTCTGTTGGATGTCTTCCTCCGTATGTCCTGCCAACACCTGAAGTTCATGGTATCTGAACACGAGCTGAAGGTCTTTCCTGCCTGTCTTCTCTGCTCTCAACATTGCACTACTCCCTTGTGGAGGGTGTGAGTTCTCTGCAACTTCTCCAAGAAGTTCCTTGGACCTTCTTCTCTGCAATGTCTTCCAGATCCATTTATCATTTTCAGTCCTTTTCCACTACTCCTTCCAAGTTCAGGTGCCTGAGTTGATGTACTCGCCTCTTAACTGAACTACAAGGGTATAAATCCGGGTTCCTTGGGGATTCTACGTGACTAACTGACATAAATTCTCCTCTGTGGGGGTCTGTCTCCCAGCAGCCCGCTTTCATTGTGTATTCCAGAAAGTGTCATCTCCCTCCTCCAGAGATTCCAGAATGTTCTGTGTGGCCATCAGTCTCTCACAGATACCAGCCATGGGGACTTGATGTGACTGCCAGGGACTGCCAGCTACAGTCGGGGTTAATCACATTGCATAGAGGGTCTCAGGTTTCTCACTCATCCATCTACCTTTTGACTTAAAGATATTGGTCCAGATTTAATGTATTATTTGAATAATATTTCCATTGCATTCATTCTCTGGGCCTTTTTTTCATAATTTTGTCCAAAGCAAAATTTAGCCACTTACCTTAAAACTTGTGATATTTCATTGGATTTTAGTTTATAATGTATACATAAATGCTAGCTGCTTCTTTAAAGTTTCATCTACCTGTGCAGCTCAGCAGAAACGGTGCCCATTGACCCTCACACAGGTGAGGTGAAACTCGGGCACACAGGGGAGATTGCACACTTTTTCTTTCTTTTCCCACACACAACGTGTCCGCCACACACCCCAGACTCTGGAGTGCTAAAGGACAGTAATGGCGAACCTGTGGCAGGCGTGCTGCAAGGGCTGTTTGTATCACTGAAAGCTCTAAAAGGTTTGCTGTCAACTGCTGTAGGAGATGGCTAGCATTTAGGCAGGGAGAGGTAGGAGATTAGTTGGTTCCTGTCTTATTTTTCATCTCTTTCTTCTTTTTCTTCAAGCAAAAATCTCATCTCTGCTGACAGAACCCTTTGCTTATAATGATAACAATGGTACTCAAAATTTTAAATGCTTTGTTTTCATTAAAATTGATTTTTCCATTTGCATACTGACCCTTCTCCTACTCAATGGGAGTTTCTTTCATCCCCAAACACGAGTGACTTTACTTAGTCTGTTAAATATCCTGTGGCAAGTCTGGAGGACACTGTGCATGTCAGTGAATCAGGATGCCGTACAGCTGCACAAACATACTCGTTCTGCGGGCCTTTTGGGCACAAGTTGAAACTGGAATTTTCTGTCAGTGCTTGCAGGCAGATGGAAGTCTTTAGGAGCTTTTCCTTTTGGGTGTTTATGAAAGAATGGCTGCCTCTGTTAGGAAAACAAGTTTAAAAATTGATAGTATCGAGCTACTAAGATTAATGTTATGGTAAAGAATCCTGTACAATCAAACGATTGCAGTCAATATAAAGTAAAGGACTCACTGTGCTTGCAGCCAGCACGGAATTAACTGTGGTAGCACTGAGCATTGTCTTAGGGAACAAAACACTTCTTGCTGTACTTCTTCGGATTAGTTCACGCAAGTGGCTGGGAGTAGAAAATGAGTTCTTCTTCATTAGGGTTTATGTCTTGTCTTCTGTTAATATAGAGATCTACTCCCACTCCCTGCCCCCTCCCCATTTTATACAAATGACACTCGGAGGTGGACTCCTGAGTTTAAATCACATTTATGAGCTGTATGACCTTGAGCAAATTCCTTGTTCTCTCTGGACTTCAACTTCATCATCTACCAAATGGGACAACATTAACAGTGCCTACTTCACAGGGTGATGTTTTCATGAGGCAGTGTTCATAGAGCACTCAGAAGAGATCTCAGTGTGACCTGTAAGATTGATATACTCAGGAGAAAGCAAGGTAAATTTTCACAAATGTTAGAGTTGGAAAGGCTCCTAGAGATCATTTAATTTAGTCTCCTAATTTTAACATTGAAAAATCTGGGTCCTTATTCAAGGTTACCAAGCTGGTGAAGTAGCAGATTTGTGTCTAGATCCAGCTCTCTTCTTGGCCTATAGTTCGCCATCCCCATTGGATGGTTAAAATCCAGAAGAGAAACTTAGATTTACTGCCTGTCCTGATTACTCAGCATCTGCTTTGCTTTCTGTTTTGCAGTCTTACTGCAGTGTCAGAGATACGAAGAGGTGCTGCTGGGTCACCATGAGTTTGGCTATCACATTCCAGTGAAGACAGCCTGGGAGAGGGGAAGGTGCCCTGATTAGGAGTCAGATGACCCAGGCTCTTGTTTCTGCCAGTAGTTAAGTGTTTGGGAAACTACATAGCCTTGTTGTGTCTCAGTTTTCTCTTATGTAGCGCTTTAATGTATATAGGACAACATGGAACTCCTGTATTAAATATGATCACTGTTCTCATAGTGGATGATGTTAAAATCCAGTGCTTTGGAAATTACATTGCTCAGAACTGCTGAGCAATGCACCAAGTTGTCACTGTTTATAGAAAATAAACTTCCTTCACCTTTACTCTTGCTTATGTGGGTCTCTAATGTAGCACAACTTCAGGGCAACCCCAAAAGGTGGTAAAAAGGTAGATTAGCTTTCACAGAAACCTAGTAAGGGGAAGGAGATATTATTTACATTTTCCAAATAAAGAAAGTGGTAACATTATCCTTTCTTAAAAGAAGAGTTGGGCATAAAGCTCATTATTTTCAAGTACTCTGTTTTCTGAGGTCTTTCTCGGAGAGCATCATTTTGATTTTTGTAACTGTGTAGCTTTGCTTTGAAATGTTCATGTCTCAGAATTCAGCTCCACAGATGAATTTCACAGACACTCAGGGGAATGAAAGACTCCAAAGAGTATGTTGTGTGACTTCAAGTTCAAGAGTAGGTGTAACATATCAGTGGAAGATGTCAAAGCAGTGGTTATTTGAGGGGAATGGAGGAAAGATGGTTATCAACTGGGAAGAAGCACAAGGAAGCTTTCTGGATCCTGGAAATGGTGTAGAACTTGGTCTACATGGGAGTTGCAGGTACAGAGTCATTGTGGATATGTAACAATAGGTGTCACGCCTGTTGTGTGGATGTTATGCCTCAAAAATGCCTGAATGTATGTTGTACCCTTCCAAAATATTTGAAAATGTTATGTGGTATTATTTTTAATGACATGGGAAAAACTGATTTTATCTCAAGTTCTTTTAGATAACTTTATAGCTTGCATCAAATTTAAAAGGAGTGGAACTTAGCAAATTTGGAGGCAATTGTGAATAGCATTTTTTTAAGAGGAGCCTTCCTCAAGGGCAGCAGTCCCCAACCATTTTGGTGCTAGGAACCAATTTTGCAGAAGACAGTGGATGGTGGAGGCGAGCCATTCTTCATTCATTCCCTTGCAGCTGCACCCTCCTCATCCATCTAGAAAGCCACTCACATTAATGGCCTTGGTTCACAGTTCTCACTTCCTAGAAAAGAGTCCAGAGACACCCAGCCAGAGTTCACTGCTCCCTTCTGGGACTGCTCTGCTTTCACCTTTGCTCTTGGCTCACGTGCTGACCCCCTAGCCATATCTGCTTCCCTGACCATACTGTAATCTCCCTCTGTCTTTCAGGATGAGGCCATAGCACCAGAGTTGAGGCTGGCCTTGTTACAGAGTAGACAAAAGGGCCATTTTTAGAGGCAGACACTTGGGACTTCTAATCCAAGATCGCCAGTTAGCTTGGTGTGCCCTAGAGGAACGTCTGCTCATTATTTATGCAGTAAATGCTTACTCTTTCTTTGTGTGACTATAAGAACATACCTTCTGTATGTCAGACACTGAGCTGGTTGCTCGATCTATGTGACTCTTTAGTTTTCTCATTTTAGAAGTAAACAATATATTTATCTCAGGGCTACTCTGAAAATTTGTACAAGCAAACACAAGTACCTTGCCTGGTGACTGGCACACAGTAAATACTCAAGAAATACAAGCCATTATTAATTCTGCTACTAATAAAATACTCAATAATTTCAGCTCTTGGGAGACATTAAAACCCAGGGCTCATGCTGAGTACCACTCACTAGACTTTTCACATAAGCAGTTTTGGAAATCCTATTCTGGAGTTGTTCTGGTCTCCTCCCATCTCCATGAATTGAGGGAAAACTAAGATGAGCTAGCAAATACATCTGCAATTGTTATGTAGTAAATTTCATTGCTTTCAACTGACTTGTGATTCCCAAAGAAAACTTTATTATTGAAAATAGTTGAGCTCAAATAGTTTATAAATGAGGTATAGGGAAATTCTTTTATTTTTTTTTATTGTATTCCCAGTTTTGTCATTCTGTACCAACAGTATATGATACTAATCCCTCCATAGTGTGTGTGTGTTTGTGTGTGTGTGTGTGTGTGTGTGTTTTGGATGTTGGAATCTCCTCTCTCTCTCTATTGTTACTATAATTGTGAATGAATAGTTCCTCTGGCCATATCATATTGAAGCTGGGGGCATTGTTTATCCTTTTGCAAGATGCTGAATACCATTCAACTTTATTTTGAGTCTGTCACATGATAAAAAGTGTTGAAATAGCAATATATGACCTGTAAATGTTCTAGTGGTGAAATACCAGAAACTGAAAGTGTTAATGAAAGGAGATTTTGAAGGCAAAGATGGACAGCTCTAAAAAATATGTTATTTTCCAAAACTCCTTTGAGCAGAAGTCTTTCTAAGAACAACCCCCACAGGCCTCTGAGAGCAGCATGTGCCTCATAAAAATCTCCTAAATCTTCATGCTCATTTACTTTCATAGTGGCTAACTCAATATTTTAAGTAGAAACTGTCAGAATTCTTTTAGACTTTCAGGAAGGTTGAGTACTCATATACTCCTAACTTAGTTTCTCCTATCATTACTATCTTATGCATGTGATGTATTTGTTACAACCAAGGAACCAGCACTGGTCCACCACTACTAGCTGAACTCTACAGTGTGTTAACTCACTGATCTTTCCCCAAAGCCCTTTTGTTTTTTGAAGGTACCACGTTACCTTCAGTCATTATGCCTCCTTCGTCTCCTCTTGTCTGTCAGTTTCTCAGACTTGCCTTGTTTTTAATGGCCTTCATTGTTTTTGAGGTCCATTAGTCAGGTATCTTAGAAGTGCCCCTTGACTTGGTTTTGTCTGGTCTTTTTAGTAGTGGGTTTGAAGTATCATTTTCTGTCATCATGTCAAGTGTCCATGCCATCAATACAACCTGTTACTGATGATGATGTCACCCGAATGAGGTGGTGTTTGTCAGCGTTCTCTACTATGAGGTCACTCCTTTTTCACCCATCGTTCCATACTGAACTCTTCCGAAAGAAGCCACTGTGTATAGCCTGCATTTAAGCTGTAGGTTAAATTCCACCTCACTGGGAGGGGAGTATTTATAGAAGTGATCTGGAATTCTTCTGTACAGATGTATGTTTGCTCCCACATGTATTTATTTATTTATTTATTGAACATTTATTTCTATCAGTATGGACTCATGGATATTTATTTTATATGTTGGGTTATAATTGAATACTGTGTTATTTATTTCGTCTGCTTAGATTGTTCCCACTTCGGCCCTTGAGGATTCTGAGTAGGCTGCCTTTAACTTACTCCCATCAGTTTGTGCTTTGAATATTTCTTTGCTTTCTGGCACCATAACAAGCTACAAGATTCTTTTAGTATTTTCACTGCCCTAGCCCGAGAAGCAGCCCTTTCTGGAAGGAGATATGATTCCTTTTATTGAAGAATGCTACTACCAAACAAGATGGGAGCCCTGTGTGTACTCACTGCTAGTGGGGTGTTTTTGCTTCTAGGCCCTCTGAAAGGCACAGCTAAGATGCACACGTGGGTGTGCTCAGCAGCGAATATGCACAAATCTACAATCTGTCTACTGCTCCTCTATCGATCTGGCCAAATATGAGTTCACACCAGTATACACCGATTTGTGCCACTTTAATTGATGCCACATAACTCGTTCTCAATTCCACCCTTGTTTATCTACACCTTCTCTCTGCAGCAGTGGGAGACTTGGCTCCTACCACCCACCACCCATTTACTTACTTGCTGCTTCCCAGTCCATGCATACAGCAGTTTCAGGATTTCTAACTTGCATGCGCCATGTAATGCCACACAGTTCTTCTGTCTTTTTCTGCACTGGCCATTCATTGTATTCCTCAAAAGGAAGTGATTTGGCCCAACCCAATGTAAACTCTGGTTAGTGAGAGAGTAAAGATCTCCTGTGGACATCCTTGGATAGGACAAGGAGAGTCCCTTGGCTGTTTCAGAAACCATTCCCCAGGCTCATTGTGGTGGCTCCTAGCATCACTTCCCTCTGACCTTACTGTCTACTTGGTTCTGTGCCCAGAAATTCCTCATCTGCCTTTACATGCAATAGTGCACATCCTAAGCCATTGTTTTTAGAAGAGAAAGAGAGAGAGAGAGACCACATGTAGAAAGTTAAATGTTCTCTGAGCATTGTGCTAATGTATCTTTGCCATTTGTTCTTTGGCCTTGATGGGGTAAGCAGCAAAATTATAAGGGAAACATAAAAAGTGCAATAAAATAAAAATCTATAGTGATAATCTTAATATTACCTCTGCATAATAAATAAATGTACATATGCACATTTTTTAAAATCCCAGGAACAGTGTTTCAGTGAAGGAAAGTTAGTTTGCTTGTTTTTGTTTTATTTCTTTAAAGCATACAATACAGCTGGGGGGTTATCAAAACATGACTTACTACACATGAATTCTTTGTTTTTGTTGTTATTGGCTTCAGAAATGTATTCACATTAACTGTCCAATACTCAAGGGTACTTGGAGAAAGTTGAGACCATCTTTACCACTTATTTTTTTCATAGGGTGGGTGTCAGCCTGCATCAAACTGTTACTGGGAAGGCTTCCGCTGAGGTTTTTTTCTAACTCATCTTTCAGCTACGAAATCTGTGAGATGAAATACTGTGCCACACATGTCTCACTTCTGTGGTGACTGAAATAACTACGTGTGCAGGAAAATGAATATTAGAAATGTCACATCACAGTAGCTATTGTAAAAACACTGCACACTCTCATGTGAAATGGACTTACTTCTCCTAAGGGGCCCTGTCACTCGTTGTCAGTTCTCAAAGGGAACACTTCAAACCTATAATTTATTTTATATGACAAATACTTAGGCTCATTTATTTTTGGGCTTGTAGTCACCGATACTGTGTATTTAATGAATTTCTGTTTAAATGAAAAATAAGACTGCATGTATTCTCTGAAATCTTACCAGTTGGTAGTGTGGGGAGCTCTTGGCAATTGTGGGATTGTTTCAGTAGGAAAATAGATTGAGCCGTTTCAACTGAAATTTCTATATTCAAGTAGCTAATGACTGTATTTCAGAATATGCTGTATCTAAAAATGTAGATCTCTTATGTGAAAGGGAAGTTCTGATGAACAAGTCTAATGGTGTGAAAGTAGAGCAAAAATTAACAATGAAAACAGTCAGGAAATAGCACCTTTCATCTGGGATATTCCTGGTGATTTGCTCTTCTTTGTGTGTAAATGGAAAATTCACTTTCAATGTGAAAACTTACAGGAAGTTTCAAATGGATGTTCATGGTAAATCAGTTTAAAAGAAAAGTTATAGAAATAGCAGTGGCATCACCAGGATCCTGGGTATCCAAAGAAAAGGAGAGACTTAATATTCTGCTCATACTACTCAAAGCAGGTGATGGGGCTGAGAATGGTGGCGCACGCCTGTAATCCCAGCACTCCGGAGGCTGAAGCAGGAGGATTGCCTCAGGTTCAAGGCCATCCTGGGCTACATAGTGAGTTCAAGGCCAGCTTAAACTGCATAGCAAGACTCTGTCTCAAAAAACAAAACCAAAACAAACACAATTTTAAAATCCCATCCTGATATTTAAAAGAAGTAGGCAACAGTCCTATTCACTTCATGCTTTGAGAGAGGTACTTTTTGGCCAATGGGACCATCATAGCTGTGGTTTACTGTAACAGCCCAACAATTATAAAACTCACAGGTGGATTCATTCTGTCAGGAAAGAGGGGTATGTGAGCCACTGCTGTGACCACTGGCACCAGCCTAGGCTGTTTACAGAGCTGAGATAAAGATGGAACTGCAAATGCACAATAAAGACCATTGCCTTGATCTCTTGCATATTCATAAATTTAACATTAAGGCTTTCACTTCTCATCAGCCACCCCCCTCCATCGCTACATCTGCCACCTCTGTCCTTTAGGGAATTATTGATTGTTCGGTTTTGTTGCTCATTTTTGTTCACAAGAGAAAACTAGACTCTGCATCACTGGTTCAGGTGGAAGGCAGAATTCTTATGGCATGGCAAGGACCCAGATACACTTTGTGATCTGGGAGGTGAGGTTCCCACTCCGTGGTATGGAAATGATGATATGAAGAAGTTTGTCAGGGACCACAGAGATGAATCTGAGATGGAAACTTTAGTCCCTCTGTTTGCAGCAGTCAGCCCCTTTATATTTTACAACATTTAAATTGTTCAAAATGAAGCTCTTCCATGAGCTTCAGCATAAAGAAGAGAAACCACACGCTCACTTCCTCCCTGGGTCTGCCTCCTAGTCATGGAAGGCAGTTAGGAGTAGAAGTGAAGATTGTGCTTCAAAACCAGCCCCCCTCCCTTGTCTCTTGTATTATAGCTGAAAGTAGGGTTCGGACCCTTGGGAAAGTAGTTTCTGGACACCCCTGCCCAGACCACACCTGAAATTAGAGGAGACTTCAGCAGGCGGAGGATTGAGATTCCACCACATTGGTGTTTCTTCATTGTTGACTTCTCCAGCTACGTGTATGGGAAACACACGGCAAAAAGAAAGCCCTTGGGTCCTGAGATCTCAGGCTGGTCTGCCTTCTCCTCACCTTACCAAGTCTCCTCCTCCTTCCTCTTCCTCCTTTCCTCCCCCTTCTCCTCCTTTTTAACATACAGAATTACATACAGGAGTGCTCTGAAGTTTTACATATTTAGCAAGAGGAATACGAATGAGTTTGCTCCATCTTCTTGGTTCCTGCTCTTTCTAGCTATAAGACCAGAAGTTTCTGGTTTCCCCCAGTATATTATTGTGAGAGTTTTAAGAAAATACAGACAAGATAAAGGAATCGCACCCCCACATGCAAATCCACACCTAGATTCAACACCTAACATTTTACTTTATCGATACTTACCTATCTTCTCTTTCCACCTATTTGTCCACTTATTATTTTGATGTCTATCAGTACAAGTCACCTCTAAGCATTTCACAATGCCTAAAATTAATTAGACTTCACTCTCTGTGGTTTTTCTAAGGTAAATTTTACATAAAGTAAATTGCATAACAATGTTTTAATTAATTATATTGGTACATTTAAGGTATACAGTATAATGACATTCATCATTGGAAATTTGCACCTGTACATAATCCATCTTGGTTCTTATTTTTCCCCATTCCCCTGTCCACCCCTCAACCCCTCCAGCCCTCCCTATCTACAAAGACTTTGTTTCCATTGTTTCTTTTTCTCATATTAATTCCATTCCCTTCTTTCTTTTCCCCTACCCCTCCCATTTCCCCAGTTTTACATAATCCAGCCGTTATTGAGACAGATTCCACTACTCCAAAAAGTTCCCTCAGGCTCCTCCTCAGTTAACTCTTATCTCCTTTTCATTCCAAAAAGACATTACTGTTTTGATTTTCTTTCTTCATTTGAACCATCTAGTGTGTACTTTTTTCTTTATGGCTTTCCTCAGCATGATGTTTTCAACATTCATTCACATTGTTGTTTGTATTAGTGGTTTTATGCAATGGTATTAGCACAAGGGATAAGAAGGTCTAAGTAAGTCCACTCCATACTCTCAGAATCAAAAGTTTTTGCTGTTCAGTTTTTGTTTGTCACCCTTCCCCCATATTTTATTATGAAAGTTTTCCAAAGTACAGAGATTTTAAAAAATTATACCCCTAGATTCAGTACTTAACATTGTGCTGTATTTTACCTTATTGGATATTTATCCATCTGCTTTTTTTAAATTGCCAAGTGCTATTTTATTTTTTTATTTTTTTAAGTGCTATTTTATTGAATGAATAATACCACAATTTATCCAGTCTATGCAGCTTCCAGCCACAAAAATTTGGTATTTAGGGTAATATAAATCATTGTTATCTCTTTTGTGTTTAGAGCTTAGAACAAAGGAACTTAAGATTTTATGTCTTTTTATGATTAATAAAGTGATGAAAGGATACAAAGATTTTTCTGTTTTTTTCTTTGTGGTACTGGGGATGGAACTCAGAAGCATTCTGCTATGAGCTACATGTCCCCCACCACCACCTTTTAATTTTTTATCCTGTGACAGTGTCACTGTGTGACCAGGCTGGCCTCAGACTCTCCATCAGCCTCCAGAGCGCTGGCATTAGAGGAGTGTGTCCTGGTGCCTGGCTGGAAGGTTTGTTTTTTCACGCAGGATATCCACTCTTTCCACATATTTCTTTTTGTTAGTGATAGATATCAGTTTATTGGAAGCTGAGAACTTCCCTGTAACAGAAGCAAAAGACAGTTTTAGCATTTTAAAAATAGAATTTAGCTTCCTGGCACCAACTTTTATTTTGTAAAGGAGAAACCATGGCTTTAAGCACACCACGACTGTGATATTCATTACTGAGAATGCCAGACCAGCCTCCGGAGGAACATCCTATTTCAGGAATACTTAGAAAACTCTGTTCCTGCACAAAATATTGATGTAGTTGTTGCAGATGGATTCAGCTGTGTTTTTCAGTTCTTTATTCATCTGTCCATACCTATTATGTAAGTTTCTTACTTTTTTTAATTTCCCCAAACTGATTACCTAAGAGGTCTTTAATTTCTAATTGATTGATTGATTGACTGACTGATATCAGAGGTGTCCTACTGGCTGCAAAGTGGGACAAAATAAACTTCATGTGAGATTCCAATTAGAGTAGCTATGCTTGCTGTTGACAGTCCAGGAAAGGATAGATGATGTTGTTTCAAACTTTTATTGCAGCCTTTGTCTGACCTGATTTTTCATTATACAGTTGATGGACTGGACAGAGCTTCCATAGCAGACTCAGATGGCCCTCCAGCAGGCTCCCAGACTCCACCCTTCAAGAGAAAGGGGAAACTGTCCACCATCGGTAAAATCTTCAAGCCTTGGAAATGGAGGAAAAAGAAGACCAGTGACAAATTTCGAGAAACCTCAGCAGGTATGAGAGTCAAAACTGTGTGACAAGAGAGGATACAGTGTTAAATTTTTCAAAAGCTAGAAAATTAGATTTTGTAGGGTTTTTACAGAAAACATTATTTTTCAAATGAAGTTATTTCATTTAAGGGCGAAACAATTCACGAGTTGTGATTTGCCCTGTTTTTTGTACTGACTTTGGCTTTCTAATATATTCTTGTTTTAAAATATCTATTTGTAGATTCATGTAAAAAATTTTTACTGTATAAGGAGGAGGAAGTAAAATAGAAAATTAGTGTGGAGATGTTATGTATCAACATTGTGATGGCAAGCATCACTTTTCCATACACACAGTTCTGTATCTGTCTACCTGGTCCTGGCAGCAGAGTCTTACCTTTAATTAAATCATTTTAAATGTCTTCTTTTGATGTATTTTTTTTCCACGAGCAAGATTTAAATGGCCGTATGAAAAAGTGTGGCAGTACGTGTCGTTTAACTGTAACTTTCCATCATGTCCTTGGGTTTAATAAGTGGGTCTCTGTCCTAGGCCAACCATAACCCATTGGTGTCAAAATTTTTCACTGTTAATTTAATTTGTAGATTTATTAAACTTTAAGAATTACATTATTTAGAGCCTTTCTTATGGATCCATGGAGGAAATTGGCTTTAAATCTCAGGCCAGAACAAAGCCCAGTTTAAACAAATGCGAGATGTCAGTGGTGTTTTGTTTAAGGAATAAGAGCATTTATCTCTTGATATAAGTCCAGCTTCCTGCATGCTTACTGTCCAAAATAATCCGTTCATCAGATTTCCTCATGCACCGCAGTTTAATATTGCCAGTATGTGTGTAAGATCACAGATCATACCTAGTTGGTCAGCACTGAGGTAAGACTGGCTGTTAGTCCTAGAGTTGTGAAACAGAATAGAAAATACAGTACACAACACACGGGTGTGCAATAGGGACAGCAGAACTCCCTGAAGAGAGTTGCCTCCTCTGCCCTTGCAGCTATATAATTTCTCTGGATATTTTCATTTATCAGGAAATAATGATAACTGAGATTTCTTTCATAATTACCTTGGAGGAGAGGTTGGATGGGTAAGAGTATAGAAGAAAGAAGATTGATTGGCCCCAGGGATTTAGCTCAGTGGTGCCGATGCCTGCCTTGCAAGCGAAAGAACCCCAGTTTGATCCTAGTACCAAAAGAAGATGATTGATTGGGAGTGAGTTGATAAATGTTTAAGCTTAATAAGAGGTACATGAGGAGGTTGGTTAGTCCCATCTCCCTACTTGTGGGTATTAGAAAATATCCATAATTTTTAAAAATGCAAAAAGAATAGAGACTTGGCTTAGAGGACATAGCGATAGCTCTGTAACAGGTTCTCATCAGTGGCTTCCTGGGCTGGGCAGGGCAGTGCGACTTCACTGACAGAGTGCTGGGCAGACTGAGGACAGTGGGGTGGGTGTCCACCACTGAGGTACCAGGTGACCTTGATCAAATCAGATTCAGCTGCTGGGCCTCGGTTTCCTCATCTGCAAAATTGGGGAGCTGAATGAACCAAATTCTAGGTGCTTTAGTTCCAGACTCTGTTGTGGCTTCTCAGGGAGACCCTTGACTCCTTTGAGTCCCCCTGCAGAAGTCCCTGTTTTTCAGGTGTAGATGGAACCACATTGGACTTCTTGAGTGTCTTCCTGTCCTATTTTCCTAAGTGGCTGGAGAATCTTGTTCTTTTAGTTGCCATGGTTACCATGGGTAGTAGGGCTTTGGGCAGTAGCTTAAGAAGCCTGTTCAGTGTCTCTCTTGCCCTTTGCCTGACTCTGGACTGCTAACGTTTTTCTCCTAGAAGATGTCTATTAAAAACAAATAACTTCTTTCTCTTTCTTGTCACTTTATTTTAATTATAAATGATTGTCATATTGTTTCTATATTTCTTTTAAGGCTATGATTTCTGCTGTGTAGACAGCATCAGTGGAGCTTAAAACAAAGACTCAAAATGGTGTGTGATATGTTGGCTTTTTTGTGTGTTAAAGAAAGATGTTAGAGAAATGTCTAGAGAAAAATTTAAAAAACAGATAAAGATGTCTAGAGAAGAACTGACATATTTTGAAATAGCCAAGGAAAAGGTTTTCTTTTTAACAAATGATTCCAAACAGTGAAACTGAGGTGTTTGGATATGATCAAAGCTATGTGCTGCTGGGCAATCTATGAAGCTCAACTTAGGAAAAGCCCACAATATCTGAAGGTATGAAAGAAGGTAAACTTCTTCCAAGAAAAGTTAACTCCTTTATGTCTGCTCTTCTCTTAAACTCCTGGCTTGATATGCACACTTGATATCACACAGACGAATCTTACTGTCTTCCACTACACAATGATTAACACTTTTCCTAGATGGGTTTCTGTTGTAGGAATTTTCAGCTAGCAGTAGGTGCAACACTAATTCATTAATGCTGTTGTAATAACACACGTGCTGTTGGAGAGATAGGCCTGCCCTTGAGTCAACTGTATTTTGGAATGCTCTTTCCAAAGAGCATCTTGTCCTTTAAGGCAAACTTGGATTGTGCCCCAATTTCTAATCCTTTGACATTGTTTTAAAGCAGGAAATTACCTAAATTCTCTGACTCTGACTTAGGCTGTCCTTGTTTGTTACGTTTTAGGTCAGGAGAGTAGCCCTCGTTTCCAGCTGTGGTCATGTGTTTCTTAATGATGGGACACATTTTCAGAAATGCATTGTTAGGCTATTTTATTTTTGTATGAACATTAAAAAGTGTACTTACGCACACTGTGATGGCTACAATGACTGTGCTACCCCCGCTAGCTATTCTTACTGCTTTTATTCTCCTGGGAGAGAGGGCCCTGTTTTGGTCCCACCTAAGCTAAAGGTCTATCTGTTCCCTATCTTTAGAACTCCAAACGTCATATGCGACATAATAAGTTTTTCCTGTTGTGTTTTGGTTTTAGACGAGGGAGAGAGTACTTCCTGTGGCCCTTTAACTATGCATGTATCACCCCAAAGCTACACATTGCTTCCCTTGAATTCTATATAGTCTGTTCCCGTTGAGACCAAGCGCCTCACAAACCCACCTGTACCTGCTGCTTCCACTTTGTTCCCAGGCCCTTTTCTCTTCTCTAGCCAGCGTCCACTGAGGTTACTCCTACCCTCCTAATTGCTAAATCTGATGTCACTGTCTCGTTTTCATTCGTTTTTGCCTCCACAGCATTTGCCCCTTACTCGGTAGCCCTGCCTTGATTTATAAAAGCGGTTTGGATATCTTGGTTGTCTTTGAATTTTCTACCTGATCCCCTTTTTATCCCCTCTACACCTCTCGTCCAGGGTTGCTACGTACCTTAGCCCATCTCTCTTTCTGGAGGTGCCCTTCTTCTCAATACCACATCTTTCACACTGGCCCACGCTACAGCTGATGCTCAGAGACGTACCCATCACCTAACAGGTAGCCCTGCCTGAGGACAGCATGTTAGCTCCCAACCCATACTTATGGTCTGTGTGTATCTGCACTGCAGACATGGTACATGCCAGCCATTGCTCTGTACTCAGCAGTGCAGCAGCAAGCAAGGAACCTGCCCTCAAAGAGCTTGTGTTCTAGACAGGTAGGCACTGCTGAGTGCTGTGAATGGACACAGGAGGAGTGAAGGAAGAGGAATTGCCAGAAGCCCTGTGTACAAGTGCTTTCCAGCCCAGGATCCTGCCCATGCCAGCTCTCCTTGCCGTTATAGACATGGCTTTCTCTGGCATCTAGACTTGGAAACATGGAATTCACTAACTCTTCCTTGTCTCTCTCCGTCTTCTACATCCTATTAGTTCCAAAAACCTTTGCTTTATTTCTTCCTAGTACAGGGTCTCTCTGACATCAGCCTGTCCTCTCAGTCTGTATTGTCTGATCCTTATCATGTCTGAATTACTGCAGTGTAGCTTTTTTGTTATCCTTGGGGATTTATTAGCTATAAAAAGCTTGAGAAGCTAAGGAGAAGCTGGATTCTGGAGTAAGCTGAGCACAAAGGAGGAGGTTCAGAAAGGCATAGGCTGTCAGAAACCCTAGAGCAACCAAGTCTCTGGCCAGGCAGCTGGAGCAAAGAGTACTTCATAAGACAATGGTGTGTGTTCTGGCAGGTGGGATAGAGTCATGGAGCATCCAGGTGAGTGGTAGTGAGAAATCCAGGCGGGTCTTAGTAGCGAGGGTGCTTGGACCATTGTAATAGGATTCATGGCCAGCTGGTGCTGGAGAAGGGGATTGGGAAGACTCAAACAGGACCTTGAACTTTTTTGAGGAAGAAGGGAACAGATAAATAGGTCAAAAACTTACCAAAAAACTCAACTTGGCAGAAAGTCACTGTATAAAGTGGGACACAGGGCAGGGATTTGGGGAAGGGGACTCCTTGGACTGTAGACCTCCAGTGCTAGAGTTAATGTTGCCAGAATGCTACAGCCCAGGAGCCATGGGAGTGGAGAGAGGAGGGCTCTCCCAGGCAGCAGCTGCCCCAGAGGTGTGAATCTGGGAAGCAAGTGGTGGTGTCTTAGTCACTTTCTCACAACTGAGACGCAGCACCCGGCACTTTGCACTTAGAGGAGGAGAGGTTTATTTCGTCAACAGTTTGAGAAGTTTCAGCTCGTGGTTGGCTGGCTCAAACAGAAAGAGCATCGTAGAAAAGCTGCTCATACTGTAGCACAGTATGAGCAGGAAGCAGAGAGGAGGAGAGAGCCGGCTCACGGGCCGAGGGACCCGCCTCCAGCCAGCCCCTCCTCCTAAAGGCAAGTCCGCGATAGCACCGCCGCGATCCGTTAGCCTTCCAAACTCACGAAGCTTTGGGGCCTTTTTAGATTTAAAGCATAACAGGTGGGCAAAGCACTTGTTCCTTTCCCCGACCCCACCTTTCCGGACACCACCAGGCTGGAATATTCCTTCCGTGGAATGTTTGTCCTGTTACCTCTTGCCCCAAACATATGGCTGGGCACATCGATTCCGTAATAAATCCCAGACTCCTTGGATCTCCTCACTTTGACCCAAACTGA